TGGTAGACATTTTTATCTCTTCATTTTCAGAAAAGAATCCAGCTTATTTCACCATAGCATTCACAAATTATTCATTAGTTCTGTTTTTTAAACCTGTAACTGAGCCCAGATGATCTTTAGGAGAAAAAGTTAAATATAGTAAGTGACCTGCTGAGAAGAGGTAGGCCTTTCTCCTGCCTAGTTTGCAATGTTTACTTGAAAAGTACAAAAAAAAAAAAAAAAAAAAGACCCAGGGAAGGAAGAGAGGCCCACAACCTGTTCCACAGGGAGATCACAGGACTGCCACGGGCTCTTGGTCTCAGATTCAACACCCGTGGACAGTCACTTAATGCTGACATCCAAGTTCAGCAGTTGCACCTACAGGAACATATAAAGTCAAAGTCATACTTCTCATTCTGCACTAAGAAAAACTGCCTTTTGAGAAAAACTCCTTCAGGTCCCCTCCTGCTGCCCTGCCAGGAGCTTTCCTCTTTTCTAAATAAAGTCCTGCTTACTCACCAAAAAAAAAAAAAAAGAAAGAAAGAAAGAAAAAGAAAAGAAAGAAAGAAAGAAAGAAAAGAAAAACTACCTTTCTTACTTCTGAAAATGTTATTATCTCATTAATAGTAATATTTAATTATACTGGAAAAACAAAGAAAGAAGAGCAAATATGATTACCATTTGATGCCAATTCAACATCTTTTCCTTAGAGGATCCAGACAATGACTTACTAGACATCACTACCAGGTAACTTAGAGTTAAAGTTAACAACTTGGCTTGTCCAGGTTGAAACTGCTGCTGCACTGTTCCATCACTCTACAGTTTAGAAAAACAGATTCCACCTACAAACTAAAAATTAACAAGAAAATTGGGCTTATATCACTGGATTTTTTTTTTTTTTTAAGATAATGGTTAGTTTCTCATGCTGTGCAATTAAATAACTCCAACCACAAGCTGTTGGAGTTTTAAGTTATTTTGGGCCTGGAGAAGAATGTGGCTTGGTAGCCTGAGTCAGGTAGCATGCAGCTGCAACTTCGGCTTTTTCCTGTAAATGATGAGAAAAGACCAAATGAATGGCATCAGAGACAAGACCCCTTGAGACTGTAACCCCTCTTTACAGGATATTAAAGCAATCACCTTGGCACACAGTAAGCTGCAATCCATCAAAGCGCAATGACACAGGTACTGACCTTGCATGAAAATGTTGGAACCCCGATAATTTTCTCTGTCTCTGTCCATATAGGTGACACATTAATGTCTCTACTTGGGTGCACTGGCTCCATTCCTTTAGAGCCTGGATTTCTAGGTGGCTGTCCTCAAAGTTTGCACTCAAACAAATGCTCTACTTAATCATATTTTCTGAATTTCATTATTTAAGGTTGACAATGTATTGAACCCTGCATCAGACAGTCAATGTGGTATAGCAGAAGTGTGCCTTGATATTAAAAAAGAAAAATTATTTTTTAAAAAGACTTGATTCTATCACTAGGGAAAAATATGGCTTAGGGCAAGGTAGTTAAGGCTCTTTAAATTCCACAGAAACTTATCACCAGGGTGCCTGAATGAAACGTAATTGTATACCTAACCCTTAACTGTACCCCACAAAACCATAATAAAAAATATTGATAATAAATAAATAAATAAATTCCACAGAAACAAAAAAAGATTAATATCCACCTTGTAGAACTGCTTATAGAGTGAAGTGTAATAATGCATTTCAAAATACCTCGTATAATGCCTCACTAAATTTGGGCATTTGAAGTTACCTTCCTTCCTTCTCAATGACCTAGAAAATGAGGTACATTTCAGGAAACGTACGTCATAAAAAAAAATCCTATTCTTCAGAAACTTATTGGAAGAAAATATACATACATAATATTATTTACATATACTGTTATATGCAGAGGGTGCCAAAAGAATGTATATACATTTTAAGAGAGGAAAAAACTGTATTAAAATTGTAATAGTTGAGATGAATACAAGTCACATGTGACTTCTGCAATTACAAGAGGCAATCAAAGTGGTTCCCATCAGCACCCAGACACTTCTGACGAAGGCAAACATCTCCTAACAGCTCTTGAAATGTGTATACATTTTTTTGGCACCCCGGTATGTGTGTGTGTGTGTACACACATGTACATATAAAAACAATGCTGGACAATGACTTAAGTACTAACATGAAGTCAAGAAGGGTCTTCATCAATTTATGTCATCAGTTTTACACTTCACCTCAAATCTCATGTTAGGATTTCTTCAGTCATGCATTGAATCTTATATTCAATTCACTAGCACCTCCTAAGAGTGGCAAGGCACAGCTACTACCCTCAGAGAGTTTACAGTCTAGTACAGGAGATAGACATGTACATTACAGTGTCGTATTCTTCAAAGGGAAGAGTCGTCCATAGGGGTAGAAGCTACCAAGGAGGGAAGCTGGGTGGAGGCATCAAACAGGAGACAGCAGCTTCCTTCTAGAGGTGAGAGCCCACCTTCATGCGTCATGCAAGCTGTAGTGCTGTCACTTAAACCTGAAGTCTAGTTCTTTTTCTTTGTAGTCATCTTTTTGTGTTTGTATAATGTAAGGAGCACAGTGGACATACCGTGTAGGGATGGAGTCTGAGCTAGTGTACCCGTCCCCGAAGAGTGAACATTGTGCCAACAGGTAATTCTCAGCCCTCACCCTCACACTCCCACCCTCTGAGTCTTGGGCAGTCATTCCATATTCCATGTCTGTGTATACACTCTATTTAGCTCCCATAGAGATGCATTCGCATGATGGAAAGTTCCAGGCACACACACTGATATGTGGAGCAAGAGACTTCCCTCCTTTCTGTCCTCATTCAATCCTGCTCTGCAGAGGCAGCCAGGAGCATCAGTGCCTTCCAGTCTCCAGATGGAGCGCGTCATAAGCAAATAGGAATGTGTAGCTGCCCCTTGTTCACAAATGTTTTGCTAATATTTTAGCTTTGACAGTGCTTTAAATATTCAACCATGGTCAGGTGCAGTGGCTTACACCTGTAATCCCAGCACTTTGAGAGGCTGAGGAAGAGAATTGCCTGAGCCCAGGAGTTCAAGACCAGCCTAGGCCACATGGCAAGACCTCGTCTCTACAATAAATCAAGAAATTACCCAGGCATGGTGGCACACACCTGTAATCCCAGCTACTTAGAAGGCTGAGGAGGAAAGACCACTTGAGCCCAGGAGGTCAATGCAGTGGTGAGCTGTAACCATGCTACTACACTCCAGCCTGGGTGACAAAATGAGACCCTGATTCAAAAATAAATAAATATATAAATCCTTCAAGACCTAATTAACTCAAGCACTACCCTCCACAGGGCCCATGTTCATACACAAAGACCACATGAGCCTGACCCTGTATTGCAGCAAATACATGAGTCTTGATTTCATATCATCTCCACGGTTTTCTCATTGTTCTGGTTATAAATAATGACAACCCAACAAGAAGAGCATTCCTGAAGGCAAGGATGACATCTGGTGCTCTTTTATGTCCCACATGTTACTCACCCTAGAGTGAGCCTCACAGTAAATCCCTCACAGTCAAATTCTGAATGACTCCCTGAGTAACTAAAAGTATTTACAGTCACAATTACCTTTGAGTTCGTAGAGCTGCAAGTCCTTACACCTATGTTTTTATTGTATGTACAAGGAGGAACCCAAAAGATATAGTATTTATTTACAAAAAATTGTGTTGCCGGGTGCAGTGGCCCTGGAATCCCAACACTTTGGGAGTCTGAGGCAAGAGGATTGCCTGAGACCAGGGGTTCGAGACCAGCCTGGGCAATTTGATGAGACCACATCTCTATAATAAATTTAAAAATTAGCCAGATGTGGTGGCTTGTGCCTGTAGTTCCAACTACTTGGAAGGCCGAGGCAGAAAGATCACCTGAGCCCAGCAGGTCATGGTGGAAAAACCAGCAACTGTTTGCCATAACTCGGGATGTTTCTTCTGCAAGTTGTGATGCAACCTTCTCAAAACTGCCAGGTAAAAACTTTGGCTGACCTTTTGATCCAGAGGACTATATCTGAGTACACTATAAGGGGCCCGCCCTCCAAAAGATAATTCTGGATTTTTGGGGGGGGGTTCCCCTTATATAAATACACTAAAACAGACAAGGTCTAAAACCTTTCATTTTCTCTCCAAACTGACCCATATACACCAGGCATCAAATAAGTATATCAATTATCTACAAAGAAGCTGAAACAATCAGGAGCTTCAAGTTAATTCTAAATATGATAGGAAATTTCAAATGTATCTGCCACTGTCAAGGTTTAAGACTATAATGCTTAGAGAGCCTGTTTTATTAAAAAAAAATACACAACATGAAGATAAAAGAAACAGATACTCTTAGATACTTTTTCTCTTCAAATAAGAATAATTCTCTAAGAATTGTTTTCCCCAAATAAGAATAATTCTCTAAGAATTGTTGATGAAGAACAAAGTCAAGAAGGTGACTACAATATCTTTTTATTGTTGTTTCTGGAAAAATGTTCATTTTTGAAACTCTGTATAACTTAATGCATACCAACTTCTCTCATCTATTTCTCTAAGCACATGAAAAATATACCTAGAAATAAAGTATGCATTGATGTTGACGTCCAAGAGCATATCATTTACATATGACAATGGCACTGCTTCCTAGCCACGCAGGTTGCTTTTCAGTCACATGAGATCAATTGGGAAAGAGGAACTGGGGAGACCAGACCCAATTCCACATGAAACCATGTGTGAAATGAAGATTCACAAACTGACTCCCCTGATCCTGAAGCAAGCTTATATTACATCCAAATGACACCGTTATCAAGTTCTATATTCTTGGCCTTATTGTCATGTTTAATGAATATGGTTATCTCAGCATTAAGAAAAAAATGCTTTTTTAAAATGCTAACCACTACAAATTTTTCAACCAGACCAACTCTTCATTGTTTCCTTTGTATAAGGATATCAAGTTACAAAGAAAAGAAAGAAGAGAGAGAAAGTAAGGAGGAGAGATGGCATGTCTTACTGGGGTTGCGCGAGACAGCCTGGCGCCACCACAGGGTAAGTCTCCTCCACGGTGTGGAGCGCAGCAAGCTCTCCCATGCTGACTGCCACGTCGTTAGTGTGGCCCGGAAGCTGGGGCAGCACTGACAAGATCTTCTCCACCAAGCTGTCACCATGATGGCCAACTGCACCTGTTGAAGTAGATAAGAAAATATAAACTCAGAAATGGGAAGAAAAGGTGCTGGATAAATGTCTTATAATGGCTTTTCTATCAAAAGTAACATACATTTTTAGTTTCTGTTATACAAATCAACAACACAAACCTAGCATTCTGCCCTTTGTCACACTAATCACGTGCATGATGACCTGATTCACGAGTGCCTCATGAGTTGAACTCCATGCTCCATAAGGGCAGGCATCAGGTCTGGCCTCATTGCTATTGCAACCTAGCACCTGGCACAGTGCCTGCAGACAGCAGGCAGCAAGAAACCATCATGAATCAGTCAAGTTATCAGCATAAGTGGGCAGTCAGTAAACAGTGTTGTAGGACAATATCATCTTGAAAGTTTAAAGCTGTTTTATTTTTATTTTACTAATTAAGTCACCAAAACCCAGAAGGGCTTAGGGACTTCACCAAGCAAGCCTCCCTTCCACTAAAACCTTATCTTCATAATGGCAAAGGTCCTGCTTATCTTGTTTCCCCTTGCCCACCACATCTACCATGAAAAGTGGTAGCTAATAGGCTCTCACTAAATATTTCCTGGATGAAAGAATGAATAAGCAAATGAATGGTAATAGCTTGCAATGACAGTTACTAAGTGCTTTCTATGTACCAGCACTATTCTATGCACTTTACATGTATGAACTCTTTTAATAACAAGTTAATGAATGTAAATTAAAATTCAAGGCTAATGACGCCGTTCAATGCTTTTTTCATAAAACCAAGTTATCTCTCCAAAACCATCATTGCTTGGAGACATAATTCCACCAATGAGTGGACTTGCCACATCTGCTTGTTGGAGCATCCACTTCAAATCAGTTAACCCTTTGCTTCCTAATACCTTACCACTTTTATCTCTGCTTTTTTGGGCCATGTCATATTAATGGGAAAGAAGGACTAGATAGGAAAGGCCACACCAGGAACCCAGGGAATCACGATTATCACCATCTTCATGCCAACAGCTAATGTTTATTGAGGGCTGATGACATATCAGGTACTAAGTTCCACGTTGCACATTTATGATGCACTTAATTCTCACAGCAACTCTAACAGGTAGGTATCATTATGTTTAGCTCGTGCACAACAAGTAAATAATGAACTTGTAAGTTACAGAGTAAGAATTCAAAACCAGGAGCCAGATAACTCTAAACATCATGATCTTGGATTTAAAAAAAAATCAGGCCTTGAAGGTACTTAAGACAGAGCCAGCACAAAAACTTCTAGGGTGACTTCTACCAGTAGAATATTATTTATTAGGCCTAAAAGGAAGCACGTCCTCTTCATGTTATCTATGGTATAGGGCTGTCTCAGCACTCAGGCTAGGAGCTGCTTGTTAAATTCCGGGTAAACAAATGCCTGGTGATTGTAAGTGGCCCTGCTACCCAGAAGGGGCCAGAAATCACTAAGTGAGCTCTACCCTTAACCAAAGACTAAATCAGAGAGAGACTCTCGGATAACCTCACAGCACCAGGAATTTCTCTCTCCACTCCTTCCCCACTCACTTATTTAAAATATTTATAAATCTCCACTTATCATCAAAATAACTTTCCTTTCACTTTGATCCCTGCTCCAAGTTAAACTTTTCTTCCATCTGCCATCTACAGATGCACGGCACAAACAACGTTCTGCACGGGCCACCATCTGTCCTGACTCTCTAGTCTCTGCCATCTGGCTGTGGCTTCCTCCTCCATCATCCCAGGCTCGGGGATCTTAGACGAGTCTCCATTCATTCAGCCCTCTGCAAGTCGAAACTGCTTAAAGTCCTCTTGCAACAATCCAAATGTGAAAAGTCAAGACATAAAATACTTATTTATGTAGTGCTTCTAAACTTTCTATGGCAAACATATGAGCCTGTTGTAATAAGAATAAAAAATATAGGCTGAGCATAGTGGTGAATACCAGTCGACCCAGACAGGAAGATCACATGAAGTCAGGCAATCTACAGATTCAACGCAATGCCCATTAAGGTGCCAACATCATTCTTCTCAGACCTGGAAATGATAATACAGAAATTTATGTGGAAACATAAACGACCATGAATTGGCTATTCGAGGTATCACACTTCCAATTTCAAACTTTACTATAAGGCTACAGTAATCAAAAAAGCCTTGTATTGGTACAAGATCAGGCACATAGACCAATGGAACAGGATAGAGATTCCAGAAGCAAAGCCTCAATTCCTCAAACAACTCATCATTGACAAAGCCTCCAATAACAAACCCTGGGGAGAGGAGAACCTATTCAGCAAATGGTGCTGGGAAAACTGGCTGAACACATGCAGAAGATTGAAACAGGACCCCTACTTATCACCATACACGAAAATTAACTCTAAATGGATCAAAGACCTAAATGTAAAACCTCAAACTGTAAGAACCTTAGAAAAAGCAGGTAACACTTTTATGGAAGTTGGAACTGGCAACCAATTCCTGATCAAAACCCTAAGTGCCCAGGCCATAATAGATAAGATAGACAAGTGGGACTGACAAGCTTCTGCAAAGCCAAAGAAACCATCAATAGAGCAGGGACATAGCCCACATAATAGGAAAAAATATTTGCCACCGTATAGCTGACAAAGGCCTAACATCTAGGATCTACAAGGAACTCGAACGCGCCAAAAGGAAAAAAACAAACAGCCCCTTTAAAAAGTGGGCAAAAGACATGAATAGATACTTCTCAAAAGAAGATATACAGGCGGCCAACAGACATATGAAAAAGTGCTCAGCCTCACTCATCATTAGGGAAATGCAAATCGAATCCACATTGAGATACCACCTAACCCCTGTAAGAATGGCCATCATTAATAAAACAAACAACAACAGATGCTGGCGAGGATGTGGAGAAAAAGGAACACTACTACACTGCTGGTGGGAATGCAGACTAATACAACCTCTTTGGAAGACAGTGTGGCGATTTCTGAAGGAACTAGAAATTGACCTTCCATATGACCCAGCAATTCCCCTATTGGGAATATACCCGGAGGAACTCAAATCATTCTGCAAAAAAGATACCTGCACACATATGTTTGTTGCAGCTCTATTCACAATAGCAAAAGCATGGAACCAACCGTGTTACCCATCGAAGCTGGACTGGATAAAAAAAAATGTGGTACATATACGCAATGGAATATTATGCAGCCATAAAGAAGGACAAATATATGGACTTTGCAGCAAATTGGATGGATCTGGAGTCAATCATACTCAGTGATTTATCACAAAAACAAAGAACTGAGTCCCATATGGTCTCACTCATAAGGTGACCTTGAACAATTATAATGCTATAAGAAAGCAATTGGCAGTAGCAGAAAACTGTCAGGGGAAATGGGGAGTGGAACGGGCAGTTGGGGAAAACTGCTAGGGGAGGGAGGGGTATACCTCATCAACAAGGGTACCTGCATGATCACTGTTTGTATACCTAACCCTGAATTGTACTCTAAGGTTCTTAGAACAACCTAAAAAACACAGTAAGTCTTTATCTCTTAAGTGTGTATGTGTGTATGTGCATGTTTTTTACATATATACATATGTGTGTGTCCGTGTGAGGATGTATGTGCACACGCATACACACACACACACACACACCCCCAAAATCTTAACAAGGGTTATCTTTGGATAACAGGATTGTGGATGATATAAACTCTACCAGAATTTCATTTCCCCCCCAGTTTACTATAAGGAGCAAATGAGATTTAGCTAGTTAAAAAAATAATGTACATTTCATCAGAAATTGTTTAAAGAGAGATAACAATATGTCAATCTTACAAGACCATCATAACTCAGCTTCTCAGATTCAATACAAAGAATATATTCGAATTCTCTTGCCTTTTGTGAATAGTTTCTCATAAGTCCAGCTTCAGACAATTCAATATTTATCTTTAAAATGTAATGAGTGCCATTTACATGACTCAAATATAGACTGAGCATCTGGGGTCGGGCAATGTCACAATAACTTCAGATTCTCCTTTTATAAAAGGAATAAAATGCCAGTGTATCACACTGAAGTTTTTAGAGAATTTAATTTTTCCTTTAGCACAGAAATTTTAAAATATTATTTGCGATTCTCCAGAGTGGAAGTCAACCAGAACCCAGATATTTCTCTTCTGTTCAACTTTTAATATGACCAACACCATGTGGTCTAGTCTGGGCAAATGATGGCTTATCTCCAAATGCCATCTTTTCCAAAAAGTGATAACAAAAACAAAAGATGATGAACTTCAACATTTATAGAAAGGTTGGTACAATATTGCCACGCCTGGCTAACTACATAACGTTTAGGCAGTTTTCAGTAGCGACCAATTTTGGAGCCTCATTAACTCAATTTGTTGAGAAGAGCAAATAAGGTACTGTGGAAATACCTTACCTTTTTTATCCATAAAACACCTATATAAATATGATTAGTTAATATTATTATTTTCTACTTAAGTTTTACTATGGGCCTAAATGTCAAATCTTAGAATATTCAGAAAAATGAGCATCTTAGTGCACACACACTGCATTTGTGAATGACTAATGAAATGACTTAAGAATCTCTGATCCTGAATTGTACCCCACATCTTTAAAATTAAAAAAAGAGAAAAAAAGGATGTCAAAGCATTTTCAATGAGAAAAAATAACTGTATTAAACTCAATGTCTAGTAATACAACCTTTAATCCACTCATTCATCCATTCATTCAATAAATGTTTATCGAATGCCTGCTGTTTTCAAGACACTCTTCTGAATGCTGGGGTAAAAAAAGCAAAATCCCTCTCCACAGGGGCTACAAGTGAAAAAAGACAGGCAATACATAATCATTTAGCAGAGTCAGGAAATGGGAAAGGCTGCCACAAACAACACAGGGTAAGCAGTTAAGAGTGTGCCTGTGAAGATGTTAGGGGAAGGAAGCCATGTGCATACCATGACTCAACAGGGAGAAAGCCACAAAGAACATGAGCCATGATAGAAAAGGCCATGCAGATGCCATAGTCATGGGGGAG